TCAAACGCATATTTCACTGTATTTACTCGTGCTTCCGATAAATTGGCCATTATAGCTGTACTTAATTTAGGTGCATTACGAAAACATATCACGTATTTATTTATTATATTACAAATAACAGTTCGAGCAGATTCAGCCAATACTCTTGACGAATCGCTGATAAAGTAGCTTGTACTCCGGCATGGAAATGACGTACATGTTCATAAAGGATAATCATTTTCGTGAGGAGATGTTTACCAGGCAACAAAATTGGATGCTTATGTTCAAATGACACATTGGCGTAACGCAATCGGCCCATGAGAGCAGGTGAAAAACACATTGATATAATCAGTGTTGATAAGTTGCACATACTTGAAATAAAACGAAGAAATGAGGAAATTATAATTGTTAAGGAAATTGTTAACAATTAGATAAATTGTTCATTTAAGTGTTCTAGTGTTTTTTTTAACTGTGTACTCCACAATACATGATTTCTAATAGGTTGAAATTCTTATTCTCTGTTCTCTGTTCCTTTTATTGTGCGGAACCCCTTACTATTACGAAAAGTGTGCGTGACCAGCTTTAGATTGCATTAGTTTGTGTACTAGAACTCAAACAAATTGTACAGTTGTTAACGCTGGACATTATTATGATCTCAGTCCTTTAACAAGAGCTTCAGAAAATTATGTGATTCCTTTGCGTATAAAAAATCAAACATATTGAATATCTATAATAAACAAAAAGCAATTTATTTTTAAAGTAAAAGGTTTTCTGTTATACAAAAATTGTACAATCAAATATACAACAAAATTAAATTATATAGATATTATATTTATACATTATAATTAATTTTAATATAAAATCTGCTTGCTCTCGATACCTACCTATTATGTTTTTTAGGATCGTCTAAGCATGCTCCAGATTTAATTGGATACCATGAAGTAGTATAGACTGGCAGACATGTAATATTATTTTAGGTGATTTGAGAAAATTTGTTTTATTTTTTATATGCAAAGGAATCACATAATTTTCTGAAACTCTTGTTAAAGGACTGAGATCATAATAATGTCCAGCGTTAACAACTGTACAATTTGTTTGAGTTCTAGTACACAAGCTAATGCAATCTTCCATACTATAAATAAATTACATTGTTGATCACCCTAAAATATTTTTATTCATATATTTGATATAAATATATTTTTTAAAAATTACTTACATGCGAAAATAATTCAGGGTATGAATTAGTCTCTGCATCATAATCACAATGCATAACTGTCACCGTACAATTCCATGTAGACAATCATCACCAGTAAAATTAAATAATGTTCTTCTTTATTTATTATCTAATTTTGGAAGAAACCTTGTTTCCTGTTTATATAAAAAAATTAATTCCTTTATCATTTACTAATTAATTAATTAATTCCTAACTACTTAATTAATTCCTTTATCAGACGATAATATACTTTAATATATAAAAATATAATTGAAACTGTACTGTTACCTGTTCCTATTTCTGTATTGTTTTTTATTAGACATATTGCATAGTCATCTTGGTTATTGCATTTTTTAATTAATGGAGAACATAGTTGCATACGTATCATCTCATAATCACGCTTGATGATATCTTCTTTATCTGATGTCAGTTTGTTAAATTATATTAGGTGTTGGAATTAATTCGTAGCGTTTTACAAGTGATGGGAAGTACTTTCATTAATGTATTTTTTAATGCTCATGTGAAATAAATAACATTCTTTCATTAAAAACGCTACGAATTAATTCCAACACCTAATATATAAAATTAAACTTAATATAAAATTAAACTTATTTATAAAATTAAACTTACGTTCAGACACTTAACAATATTTTGAAGGAATGAGTTAAAACCTACAATAAAACAATTTCTAATTTTTGTATTATGTTTGAAAACCTGATACAATTAAATCTCATGACAATAGCATTTGAGGTCTATTACAGAGAATGATGCAAAGAATTTTGAATTCTTATAGTGTTAATTACTCATCCATCTTGTTGATCGAATAACAACTGTAATAAACGTATAATGGAATTATTCGGGATGGATTCAGATCAAAATAATTAAATTATTTTCTACATTTCTATTGTGTTTTTTAAAGAGATTGTAGGAAAACTAAATAATTCCGATCGGAACTCATTCCAAGCAATTCCATAATACGTCCTGGAATTTCGAAATACTAAAGAGACATATCGTGTCTAATGGAATTTCCGTGACCGTAGCGCCTATATCTATATTTCAGTCAAAATACATGATATTTTAATATTTAATTAAAAATGTCTGGACTCACAAATATTTTTAATGATACTTCAAAACTCTTCATATGAAATACAAATGATTCCATAAACTTTGTTGAATTTAGATCCGGTTAATTATTTTGGTCAAATACAGTCCAAAAAAGAATGATTAATTGTAATTAATATTAGGTGTACAAATAAGTTTCCGCCGTTTGACAAAAGACGGCGCCACTAGCAAGCTATGGTTAAAATTGTCTGATGTAAAACATTATATCGTAAGGTTGGACATCTGTCAATAACATAACCTTGAAATACTAGCAATTTTGTATCAGCATATATTTTTTTTTTGTACGAAAATGCCGAGTTTTGAGCCGAATAAGCGTCATTTGCGGAAACTTTTGCTTTAATTTGAAGAAATCTGCAGCTGAGGCTTGTAGAAGCATATGGTGAGGCTGCCTTAAGTGAGAGAAGTTGTCGTGAATGATTTCAAAAATTTAAGAACGGTGAATTTGACGTCGAAGACAAAGAACGTAGCGGAAGGCCGAAAGTGTACGAAGACGCGGAATTGGAAGCATTATTGAATGAAGATTCATGCCAAACGCAAAAAGAACTTGCACTTACATTTTGACTTACATCAATAAAACATTATGTGTCTTTCACAATAAATGCTTAATTTTTGATAAAAAACGGCGGAAACTTATTTGTACACCTAATAGAATGACTCACAAACTTTTTTATTTGCATTTCAAAAAACTCTTCATACGAAATACAAATGATTTAAAATGAATTTTACAACCGGAGGTTTTGTCCGGTCACATAGATACGAATCACAAGGAGAAAATGGCAAATTGCATTACGTGACTCGTCTCCTCTGATTGGACATGGGCATCAAAGCTTCATAGATATGGAAGAGATTGGAGAAAACTGATCACGTGAGCCCCGTCCTGATTGGACGTGGGCATTCATGTGATGCAATTTGCCATTCTCTCCCTGAGACTCTCTAATTGTTACACGAGAGAAATGAGTCAGAAATATTTTTCAAATATTTTTCGTAAATTATAAATCATCATATATTTATCTTTTTTATCTTTTGTAAAATGATATGCATATCGAAATATGCATATTATTTTATAAAAGATAATAAAGATGAATATATGCCTTATTTTATAAAAGATAAAAAAGATAGAATATAATTAACATAAATATTATGCTTAGACTGGAGGTGTATTCTGTTTTCACGTTCACACGTTATAAGCATCAGTTCATCCTTATTGTCTATCAAATATTAAACCAGAATACACAATACTGTCAAGCGTAAAATGAAACACACCAGAGTATTCTGTAATTTATTATGCAGTTGTTATGTGTTCATGATAATTGCGCAGTTTTTTCACTACATAAAATATCTGTGCAACTGTCAGTATAAACGTCAGTATAACAAGTTATAAAAGTCTGCTGTTGCAGGGCTATTCTATTCTTAATACAAGTTTCGTTATTGTTATAATGTCATTGCACAGTTTTTTATAATGATAAGAAAGCTACGCAATGGTGTTATCACGATAATGGAACTTGCGTTAAGAGTTACAGAATAAGGCTGCTGAATTGAAAAAAACAATCATATAACGATAATATATGACGAATAGAAAATAACCTCAAAATTGTGTAATTAAATTAAAATTTTATTGTTTATACTATATATTAGGTGTAGTAAAAAGAAATCCATTATTTTTACTACACCTAATATATACATATTATATATATATATATATATATATATATATATATATATATATATATATATATATATATATATATATATATATATATATATATATATATATATATATATATATATATATATATATATATATATATATATATATATATATATATATATATATATATATATATATATATATATATATATATATATATATATATATATATATATACACACATATAATGTATATATACAAAAAGGTTAATAAGGATTAATTTAACGATTTATCTTATCATACGAGTAAATGAAATTTATTAATTTAAGTTGAATTAGTATATATCGCAATACACTTATGTTCATGTATAAATGACGATGGCGATATATATGTATATGTATACACACATGTTGATATTTACATACGAGCGATTGAAATAATGCGTTTATCGCTCACGAGAAGAGATTTTCTTACAACGTATGTTAGTGTTATGAATACATCTGAATTTGGCTGTACAAAAATTTGAGCAAATTCAAGGTAATCAGATCCAGAGTTATAACTACGTGCTAAATTCTGGAACATGTTTGTTTGGAATCCAGACTGAAAAATACTCCACGCAAATTAAATAATAATTTAGTTAATGCCTGTTCATTTAGAAAAAAAGCATGGCATACATAAGTTTCCTATCTTGCATTATTAATAATAGCTAAACTCAAAGAAGGTATAAGGCAGTATGATCTGCTTAACCATTAGCAATTTGAACGTTGAATGAAAAACGATTATCGCAAAATAATTTTCATATAAATTAGTGGAGAATGCTTCAATCATTATATCGTATTGTATATATATAACTTTTCTTTATTACAGATCTATCTTAACAGAAACATTGAAATTGAATACGAACGAATGATATTATTAAAATATTAAAAATAAATAATACGTAAATAATAAACATACATATATGCATATGTTCATATATTTGTAATTCCAACACCTAATATATATATATATATATATATATATCACAATATAGTTAACTTTTGCTGCAACAATTTTTCGTCTCATCTTAAATAATAGATCATCCAATGATGAAGATTAGATCAAATAATAATTAATGTACAAAACATTCCCCACTTTATGCTAGAATTGTTATGTTTATCGGTCGTTATTTATCTCTATCTTTTTTTAGTCTTCAGTAACACTCAACACAAATAATCAAGCATTGTTGCCTAATTGAAAAACACCTTCAATTGAGTTCAAATAATAATGCATTTCCTCCAGTCTTCGAATAATATTAACATGTTTTAATTATATGAAAATTTTTGACTAGAATTCTTTATATTATGCATTGTGACAGGTTGTTGTCATGAGTGATAAAAATCAAAAAGAAAAAACATTCAAATAATTTCATGAATTTATCATAAAAATGTTAATAAATTACAATTGTTGTAAAATCAATATTTTGCCCCAAAAGAATGTATGAAAATTCACCTGTTAAAAGAAATGAATAAAAAAGAGAAACAAGATATGCTATTTCAAAATTGAGAATTATATACAAATTATGTGTGTGCGATTGGAAGCATTTATAAGTTTATCAACGGGAATAGTTGCTACATTTGGATTCAATAATCCGAAATATAAACATTAGCTAAATCAATTGTCGAATTAGATTCGTACTGTGATATTATGAGATATTATCTACAAACTATTTTTATCACAATTACGCGTTGAACACAAGTACAAAAATAAAGGAGAAACAGAAAGAACTGAGATCTTCTGAAACTTGATGTCACTCCTCTACAAAGAAATATTGCCAGGCATACTGTACTGTCCTTTTCTAGAATGTGTATCAACTGCTCTGACCGCAAAGTAATAATTATTGCCCTCGGAAAACTGCAACAAGAATATTGCTTTTATAGTGTTGCAAATGTTAATCAAAAAATTCGCAAGAGATTCGTTATCTCACTGACGAGTAACGTTGCTTTAATTTACCTGAGTCAACGTACACGCCATGGGAAGTGGCAGTGCACGAACATCCCCAACTTTCTTCCATAATGATGTGTTGGGATTCACACCAGCAACTTCTTGATACGCGTATAATTGATAACTAGCGATATCCGCATATTTATCCGATAAGCTCATATTCCAGGATAGCACTATTCCTATTGATACGATATTGATAATAAGAATCAATTATTATTAAGAATTTTGCTGCTTAAAAGTTGAATTTAAATTCAGAGGTGTCAAAGGATTTACAGATTACTGTCGTATCGTGATTCATTGGCTAATACCAATCTCCCCCTTTTTAATAGAATTTAAGGTGAAGAGAGTTTAATATAAAGGGAGTTCTCCGGAGGAGCAGTTTCAGTATTAGTACACTCTTCGTGATGAATGGCAAGATCTACGAAACGTTGTATTAATAATAGATCATGATAGTAATTACCCGCAAACCTTTGGCATCTCTGAAGAAAGTATTCAAAAAAAGTGAAAGTTTCAAAAGTATTGAATTTGAATTATTTGTACAAAACAGAAACATTCATAATTTACCATTTGACACTTTTGAAATCTTCAACGATGGTGCAGGCGGTGGAAGTTTCCAGCCAGGCGTCGGTGCATAATTTGGAATGTCTGGCAGAGGTGCTGGATGCTGAAATAAAACAATCCTAAAATAATAATCATTGAATAAATATTGTAAGAATAGAATCGTTACTTTTAATATTCACCTTGCTTATTTGTACATTTGATAAAACTGGCGTGGTTAGTACGCGTACGGTACCGTTCGTGATTGTTGATATTCCTGTCGACAAGACAATGAAGTAAATAACATAATGTAAAAATACTGCAACAAAAACATTACTATCAATTTCTTTCATTAAACCTTTTCCATTGTAATTCTTCTAAAACATAACTTTATAATGTTAAAACGGAATATTAGTATAATGTTTCTTTTAAAATAATTTAATTACCCTTGTAAGTGACAGTTGAAAAGGGTGGTCTATTAGGTGTGTTCATCACTGGCCGTATCTAGAAGATATTTAAATTTTTTACTTACAATACTCATTTTTAGATAGAATGGCGAAGAAATTGTTATCAACCTGTACTTGCTGATTAGGGTTCGATGCTATCAGCACCTGCCTTGGTGAGCCCGTGCTACTTTGCATTACGTACGCTAGTCTGGGCGGATTCACATTATTCTAAAAAATAAATATATAACTATATATGTATATACATTATGCACGCGCGCGTGCGCGCGTTGTGTGTATGTTTTCAGTAAACATATAATAATAGGTAATAAAAATAAATATGAGAAATGCTTACAACAAGGGCAGTTGGTGCTGGCTGTTGATTAGTTGTTATCACCTTTATACTAGTCGGTTGTGTTGTAATTGCTACATTTGCCGGTATTGTTTGTAATACTCTTGGGAATGATTGCGCAGATTTCGATGTTACATTCAATGGCTGCTCAATTATAGGAGTTGTAGTTACAGTAACTTTTGCATTTGCTGTTGTAATATAAGATTCGACATGTTAAATGATGTGGAAAACACGATAATTACAAATTTATTATGATAGAGATAGATTATGGCCTTAAAAAAATACGCATCATTTATACCGAGTGTTTCAGACCATCCATATCACCCTTCTATCTTCGCAAGATAAGGTCTAATCGAAAAAGTGTTCAGACAAAAGTTGTAGAGTTTCTGAAGACTTATTTACTGGCGCTATAAGTTTGACTTTTGCCTTGGCGTCGTCAAGGTCAGGTCAAGGTCACATCGATTTTTTTAAATGGAACACTTTATTTTTTATTGCATATTCTTATAGCATCCCTCGAGAGCTTTCCAAAATACTATAATTAAATTCATTTTTATTAAATACTTTTTTATAAGGCTTGAAAGTTACAGTATGTCTGGCATTAGCATTGCCCAAACGATAACTAAAACCTCTCTGATGTTGTTCAGGCGATCTGAATAATATTTGTCAAGTTCAAAGCCATTGGAGATTGTTCCGCTTATTTTCATTTTTATGAAAAATGAAAAATTTGGCGTTGAATCTGTCTATCTTTATTGTAATCAAAGAGTAAGACCTTTATTAGCAATTCGTTTAACTAAGCGAGAAAAAAAACATGGCGTGAATGAGAAGTGCGATCAATAAAAATTTATTCGCGTCCGTGAATTGATATCTAATGATTAGAAATTCGATATAAGAAAGAGAATTTTCCTCATGTAGTAAACATTATCACTTTCACATTTACTGTCACGTAAGGTATAACGAAATTCTTATTGATCAGCCATATTGTATTCAAACGCAGAAGCTTTGGATATGATGCTGATTTTAAGTGAATGTGTCGATCAATTTAAAATAACTGAAAGATTATAGCGAGAACGATACCCGCACTTCTCATTCACGCCATGTTTTTTTTCTCGCTTAGTTAAACAAATTGCTAATAAAGGTCTTACTCTTTCCTAAAACATTAAAGAGATTTTAGTCATCGTCTAGGCACTTTGGGCAATGCTACTGCCGGAGATATTGTAACTTTCAAATCTTATAATTCAAAAAGTACTTAATGAAAACGAACTTAATTATGGTGCTTTAGAAAGCTTTCGAGGTATACTATAAGAATATGCAATAAAAAATGGGGTGTTCCACTAAAAAAAATCGATGTGACCTTGACCTGACCTTAGCGGCACCACCCAAGGTCAAACTCATAGCGCCAGTAAATAGGTCTTTAAAAAGACCTAATTAACCCTACAAGTTTTGCCTAAACACTTTTTTAATTGGACTTTATCTTGTGAAGATAAAAGGGTGGTACGAGTGGTCTGAAACACCCGGTATATATAGGATGTCCCAAAATAATCACCAAATATTTCACGGACAGGTAGAGAGGACTAAACTGAGTTGAAAAGTTCTCTACCAATTGCAATTTTCGCAATAGTTAACAAGATATTAATTAGTAAAAATTGTTGAAAATTGATCAATAATTTTTTATTCAAATACTACTATTAACTTTACAGAAAAACTGCAAGAGACAAAAATTGTTTATTTTCTTCTCATACAGCTTTAAAAATTTTTCAGAATTTTTTATTAACTTTTTAGTACTATTATACATTTTCTTATTTTTATCAACATGAGAAAATACAGTATTAAAAAATTCTGAAAAAATTTTAAAAAAATTCTTAAAGTTTTATGAAAAAAAAAAACAATTTTTGTCTCTTGTAATTTTTCTATAAATTTAATAGTATTTGAGTAAAAAATTATTAAAGATCAATTTTCGGCAATTTTTAGTAATTAATATCTTGTTAACTATTGCGAAAATTGCAAAATGGTGGAGAACTTTTCGACTCAGTTTAGTCCACTCTACCTGTCCATGAAATATTTGGCGATTATTTCCTGACACCCTGTATATACATATGTGTGTGTGTGTGTGTGTGTGTGTGTGTGTGTGTGTGTGTGTGTGTGTGTGTGTGTGTGTGTGTGTAATATTTAGCATATATATAGAAAAATATAATCACCCGCAAAAAATATGGGCTAATACATCGATATAGTACTCATATTTTTTACGAGTGAATATATATGAACATACATTTATTTTTTTCTTCCTCATCCGTAAGATCAATAAGATCGTTATTTCTTGGTTTTGGAGCTATCGGACGATTTAATTGACTTATTTTACCATTTAAGACAATAGCCTGTGACTGCGACTGAATTTGCTGTTGCGACTGCATAAAGTTTGTATTAATTAATGTAAAATTATAATTTATAAGTTTTATGATTTGATGATTAGTTATAAATGTTAATAGTTTTCATATTACTTACAGTAGTTAAGATTGGCTTCATATTCGTAGGCTGATTGGACAACGTTAAAGTGTGTTGAGATTCCAAGGGTTTAGCAACAACTAAAGCCGCGGGTGTCACAGTTGAAATAAGAGGCGCTGTTTGAGCTGTACTTTGTGTCATTACAGGAGTAGGCATAGTCACTACAGGCCGCGGCGATCTTACTTTGATTCCACCACGTCTTGGACTTGATGAATTGTTATTTGTTTCAGCAGAAGATGGAGAACTATTGTTGTTTACGATGTTTACTGCAGATTTGAGATTTGCAGTCTGCCGTAAGTTCTGTATTCCGTGTTCCTATTTAATCGCAATTAACATTATTTCAAAAAAATACTGTGGAAATATATAATAATATTAAAATATATCTCTGCGATAAATAAATACCGTTATGAAGTTGACTTGCAAGCCTACGGATCTGTTTATCTTTATAGGGGCGATAGATTTATTGGGATTTGCACGACGGTCTGACTCATTACGATGCAGAACTGTCTCGAAATCTTTTACTTGCTTCATTAATTGCTCCATTCTTGTACGCGTTATTTCCTGATATTTTTCTGATATGCGTGCTTGTTCTCTAAGTTGTCCAATTTCACTGCGCATCGCAATCGTTTCGACGATCTTTTGAATCAGAAGCTCTTCCAATTCCTTAAACATTAAAATAATATTAATCATAAAAAAGTAATATTTAATAAGGTATAGTTTTCGTAATTAATTGAGATTTTTCGTAGATATAACAAATCATTAAAAAATATTTTATTCTAATGTAACTATTTTTTTACCTCCTGTGTAAGTTTTGGTAATTTCTCTCTAATATCTCTCCGAAAAAATTTCTCAATGAAAGATAATTGTGTGACATCTTTCTTTTCCTCAGAATTAATATTCATTTTCGCTTTTTTAATTCCATTAAATACCTCGCTTTCTGAACAATTACGTTTTATCGCTACTAAAGGTGGCACAGGAATTATATCCTGATTCAATTTATTATTTATTGTTACTAATTGTTCTGTATTATCGTTAGAATCGCTGTCGCTATTAAGATACTTTTTCTTGATTATCTCTTCTGCATTTCTAGCAGTCTTCCGTTTTTCTCGTCTACTCTCCTTTTCCTCTGTAATAATAAAATATAAAATAATAAAATACAAAAATATTCTAACATATGTACTAAAAAGTATAAACAAGAATGACAAATAACACATAAGAGATTTTATATTTGAGAACAAAGCACGCAAAGAATATGTACAAATTATTTATGTTAGAATATATATATATTCTGTAATTGATATTAATAGAATTAAATTTTAAAATAATTATCTCTAATATCTTTTTTCTCAATATATTTATCGCATATTAAATACGTATAAATATATCAGAATATTTCATGCATAATATTTTCTGAAAAATTTTTGCGGTCAATCAAAAATTGCATATATAAATCATCCATAAGTCCACTTAGAAATCATAAAGTAATATTGTACTTGACTACGCAAAATTGTTAAGATTTTTATCAGATTGTTTTGTTTACTGTTTTATTTTTTTCTTTGCTTTTAATTACAGAAATTGATGAAATGCCATTCTGTTTTTGACGTTAAATATTTCCTACCTTGTATTTCCTCGGCATGATCTTGTACTGTATCGACTATTTTTTTAATTCGTTTTCTTCTTGGAATAACAGTGTCAACATTTTTAGTTCCATTATCGTTATCAGAATCATTTACATCGTTAAGTGTTAATAAAAGGGTTTGTCCTAATGGATTATTTACAGTTTCGATTACAGATTTATCATTAGTATCACTGTCTTTGTTCCTTACTTCTGCATTGTCTTTAATATTGGATAAATTATTTTGATTTTGTGTCAATGAAATATTCGTTACTTTTTCTGTGATTTTTGATGTATTTTTGCTTTCTGTTATGTCCACAGACTCTAAATTATTGTTTTTATTTTTATGTGCAATAATGTCTTTATGAGATGATGAATTATTATTATCATTAGAATTACCGGATTTTAAATCCATATAATCTGAAGTAACATTAGATTCGGCATATGAGCATTTCGAAGATTGATTATCATTTTTAATATGTTTTTCTATTATTTTATCTTTTAAATTATCATCATTACTGTTAGAAATAGTTGTAGACGATTTTTCACCATTATAAATCTTAATATTAGAATCTACAGAAGATTTATTACTGTCTACATTGTCTAATTTATTTAACTCACAGGTATTTGTCGTAATTGTTTCTTTATTATCGCTGGCTGTCTCTTTTAGATTTTTTTCATTGTGAATTGTTAGTCCTGCATTTCGAAGATTACCTGTTTGTGTACAATTATTTATTATAGATAAATTATCATTTTTTGATGTTATATGTTGTTCAGCTGTTATACTTGAACACTCATTCTTTATATCTATAATTTTTAAGTCTTTGCTAGATGTGAACGTACACTTTTCACTAGATTCATTAACAGTCGCTCTGGTATTTTCCAAATTATATATACTATCTTGTATTTGTTTGTTTTCGGATATGTATTCATCTAATGTTGATTTTCCTGGAATCTTTACTGCTGCAATAGATGACATAATTGATTTCCTTCTTTGCTTTTAGTGCCTTTAAGATGAGGAACAATACAGGAAGAGACTATACAAATTCAATTCAGAAACTTGCACTATTCTTTTTGTGAAAACTAAGTCTCTCTCTCTCTCTCTCTCTCTCTAACTATTTACTATGTTACAGTTATAATTATTTAATATAGCTTTTCATACAAACATTACCTGTGTTGTATATTTCTTGCGTTGATTTTTCAATATCAGGCTTAGAAACTTTTTCCACAGTCTGCTGCAGATCAGAAGATAATGTCTCTTCTACGATTGTATCTAAAATTGGTTGTTCTAAAATCACAATATTAATATAGATGCGAACAAATACAGTCATTTCAGTAAATAAAAACAATTCTGTTTTATTTAATCATAATTTAAAAAGCATAACTACTTTTTTCTCTCTCCCTTCCCCCCCTCTCTCTTTCTCTCTCTGTAGCATTTGTATTTCGTATTTCTAGATATAATACTTTTATAAATGTTTTAGGTTTTGTAAATTATTTTAAATATAATTCCATTAAATTCCATTAAATTCCATTAAATACAATGGAAAAAATATATCAAGGTACCATTCAGAAATTATTTCATAACATTTAGTAATATGTACAATCTAATTCTCACAAATAACAAATAGTTACATACCAATTGTTCTACTCTGCGATTTTAATTTCGTGATATTTGTATCATTTACTGTAGTATCTTGCTCAGCATCCTCCTCGTCAGATAATCTCAAGCGTAAACTATCATCAGATAGTGTATCTTCATCATCTCCTTCTTCCTCACAAAATAATAATTCTTCTTCCTTTTCCTTTGACAGTTCATCAATATCAATTCTATTGACACTTGAGACTGTAGAACTAGACTCTGAATTGTCCACTATTCCAGTTCGTGCTTTCTCCATTATAAAATGTTACTGTTCATTTATCTTAACTATCAAATATCTTTCAATCTATAATTAGATAGAAAACTACATGAGAAATGTATACACCAAGTATTAATTTTATTCTATATACTTAATATATATCTGTATTTATATCATTGTGTGCGCGTGCGTGCGCCTGTGTGCGTGCGTGTGTGTGTGTGTGCGCGCTCGCACACATACATACATACATTATATATTGTCAGAGATCATGTTAATTCGATTACTGTTAAACCAAAGGTAATTTAGAAGATTAATGAAAACAATTGATACTCCACTAAATATATTTATAAATCTTTATTATCACAAAATTTTTACAATCGTAAAACAGTGCATTTATATTTGTTTAAATTTGATTCTTTCTTGCTGCTAATAATTGCTAACATACTTTATGATGTATAATATTGACTGAAGTATAATTTTCTTTTTAATATTACATCATAAATTTAATATTTTTTCAGTTTGATCATTTATAATAAAAATATTCAATTATTAAAGCTGCTTTAGAAAATATTTCAAAATCATATTTAATATCCCTAAAATATAAATTATGAGACAGGCACGTTTCATTTCACATATCTCGATTGACAGCGCCATTGTCGCGTATATGTATTTGGCAGTGATGCCGCGTCATCAACTATGTTCCCGAAAGTATAGTCAACGAAAAAAGTAGCCAATCGTAGAGTCGGCATCATTATAGTTGAGACACTGTTTGTGTCTCTTGAGTAACCTTTCTATATAAAATCCGTTTCTATACCGAAACCGGATATAATAAATTAATACGATAAAAAGACGAGAAAGAGAAAGGAAACGCGACAGATATAATTCTGAGAATATCGATCATGTAGCTTTTTCTCTAAAGTAGAAATGTGAAAAGTGAAAATTTTTATGTACTCAATATGTAAAATGTTAACAGAATATCGGCGGATTAGTAGCAAATTTGATCAGAAATGTCAGCAGACTGACATCAACTGTAACCGTATTCCACTTCCGTTCCGTCAATAGAATGTTCTCATTATCAGGCGGCAGAAATCTACACGCGCGAGGCAATCTCATGATAGACTGACAACAGGTACCAAGCAGGAAATTAATCATGTGTAACTTTTTCCCCAGGGCGGAAACGTGAAGTGAAATTTTTTTGTATGTATGTGTATACATAAAGTAGTCAAAGAACGATAGTGATGTAAGTCACTTTTTTAAACTTCGACTTGAGGTGATGTCTACTGAAACAAGTACTGAAAGAATCTTTTGTTTTTCGAAATCATAAAAGTGACTTACATCACTTTCACCTCTCCATATGTACATACACATACATAAAAATTTTCATTTTTCGCGTTTCCATTCTGAAGAAAACGTTACGTGATCGATATTCAGTTTTGAACAACAACTAGGTTCCATTTGATGACACAAGTCGACATAAGCGTTACATCTTTGTTATTCTCTGAATATCGAGAAAGATAGAATGTCTAAAATTATGTGTCACTAAATGGAAAGCATCCATTGTTGAGACATCTTTAAGGACAAAACAAGTGAGAGTACGGAGACGAGTATTCCATTGTCAGTAAACTTTGCACACGAAAAATAAGTTTTTTATTCCAAACTAAAAGAAAGAATCTCTTTCACTTAATAATGTTTAAGTTTACATTCCAAAACGTCCTCTTCGTGGAAGATTTTATTCTATATTCTATATATTACGTGTATTATATATTTCGAGCGAACAAACCTTACATATCAAAATGGCTTATGTTCGAAATATTCTCTTCTCTCCCCCCCCCCCCTTCTCTATTTTCCGTACATATAGTACGTTTAATCTCTTTTAAGTCTTTTACAAGGAGGTACGTCTCTTTTTTTGGAGCCCAGACGAAATTCATATCTGTTTAATGTTTCAATATAACTGTCGTTTATTCTTGATTTAGCAATCGATGTATAGAGGTTACTCGCTGAACGAAAGCATTAACATTATGACGCTTACTGTACCATCTACGCGCAAGCGCGTTTTATTCTGGATCGATGCCCATCGTGCACGAGGTCACTATTTTGACTGGCGCATAAATTCAACGTGTCCCGATAAAATAAAAGATTCGCACGTCGAATGCGTACACAAATTGTCGCGGAAATTGTGTTAATGTCGCGGACATTGAACGGTACACAAACAGGCCCCTGCCTAGAGGGCCAAGGGCCCTGACCTTATCGAGACGAAAGATGGCGGACCGCGGACAAGTATCTCCCACTGAAAGTTGTACAGCGTGTTCCTTCTACAAATATAAAAGGTGTACATTTAAAGAAGGAACGGCTTTTATTCTTCGTGGTCTCGCGTTTATAATTTTGCGGTTCTTTTTTTTTTTTTTTTTTTTTTAATTCAGGTGAAAGCCATCACGGCGAGTCATGCTGTCGTGCAATCTGAGACGGAAACGCACTTATCCGTGTGAAATCACTTAAAAAGTGTGTGTGTCACCTTAAAAAGACCATGCCCCTTGAGCAAAGCAGATTTATTTTGCATCGAAGAGAATGAGATCGAGAACGCACAGAGGAACTGTGATTACAAAGAGTACGCTTTATTAGTGACGTTCGTTCAGTACAAACGAGACGCCACGAAGCGTACAGTGACACTTGGAGAACAGAACAGGTTTGCGGAACATTGCGAATGAGCGTATATCATTATCGCCGCTCCCCGCATCGCTGCCTTCGTATTATCAAACACGAGTTAAAGAAACCGCGCGAACTAGCCTCAACGTCATCGACAGATCTGCGCATCGAACGTGAAGTACACTGCACTTAGGCCCCGAGTTTCCATCCCGGAGATTGCCGAGTGTGCACGAAGCGTCAAAAAATGCGAGCAGAAACTGCGCTTGTGACGTTTCCCGATTCGCTGCGCAATAAGGAAATCTTTATTTTAACTGGCATATATATATGGGCATTTATTTTTCAAAAAATGTCGCCTCCATTTACGTTGGTTTGGAGCAACTGCAAATGCGTACAATAATTCATAATTCTAGATTAAGTCTCTTATTTGCCATTGGCATCAAATCCAAAAACATGGCTTGTCTAACAGCTGCATTCACCATTTCATTCGAATTTTTCCTTTTTATGAAAATATATGTATTGTAAAATAAATTATTCATATTCGAATTGAGCACGTGCATACAAATAAGATCTTATTGATTTTACCGCTCTGCCATGAGTAGTATAAATTTAGCATAATTACTGTTATACAATTGCATAATCCTAATTACTTAGGTATATTGGGCCCAATATATAATCACCTTCTTGATAATATCCAACGTTCATATAAAATCTTTTAACCATTTGCACATAGAATCTTCGTCTCGGATTCGTTTTATTGAACGGTTGATGAATAGAACCCTTCCCTTTCGCTCGGCGCACCAATGACAGAGTCCATGGTGGGGGAAATAGCATGTAGCTCTTCACCGTATTGTAGGACGATCGATTTTCGTCAGCTCACTTCGATCTTAGGTCCAATACCTGACCATAATATAGATTTTGTAATTTTGATCTTGAGAAATTAATTCACTCTCATTGTTTAAGCGGTTTGTTCTGACCTAGAAAATTTTCAAGATAAAGAATCCCGTTGGATGGTAAAATGAGTTAATTTTCACATATGATATAGCTTATAATCTAGTAAACAAAAGATGTCATGGACATCAGACTCAATAATAGATAATTCTTAAGCCATTGTGTGTATTAAATAGATATAAAACTTGCACTCTTTAGTAATACAACTAGCAAAGCTTTAATATGTTTTGAAAATCCTTGAAAATATATCACATTCAATCCCATCATTTTCGCGCGTGATATTGAATAGAAACATCAAAATGATCATTTCTGTATCAATATTGTTCTCTTTCAAATTAATTGAAAAGTTATGGGATTGAATGAGACACACATTTTAAAGAATGTCTAAAACGTATCAAAATACTAGTTTTACGTACTAGTTTTACAAGAGCAGTTTTATACCTTTGATAGACCATAACTTAAAATCCATTATTTAGTACGTTTACACGCATTATATAAATTCTAAACTTCAATTTAGTAATGTTAATATTATAACTTTTACCTGATCTTTTTTTAGAGAGCGGAGTGAATTTCGGACTTTTACAGTTTCTGATTTAGAATTTTGAAATATATACCATAGTAATAAACTATGAAAAAGTTGAGATTGTTCTAGAGCCGATGATAAATCAGCTTCCTATCCGAAACGAAAAGGAAAAAATTTTTTTTGTTTTAAAACTTTGTTATTGAAATATTTTTGTTAGAGTTATTTTCATATTTTTATAATGGTATAAAAATACATTATATCATTATATTATTATATAAAGATTTTCTAGATAGATAAGAAAAATATAAATTATATACATATTATATTATTATTATATAACAAAAATGATATATTTTAGTATAAAATTCAAAAATTCTTTGTGATAAATTTTAAGACATGATACAGCGCAAGAGATTGTCGGAACAGATAAATGAGGTTCTTTTGCGAATAGAATGTTTTGAACACACTACACATTGTCTTTGGTATTTTGAGTTATTTGCTAACTGGAAGGAAAGAGATGACTGGTGCCGATGTGTTTGCTTTCCTGTGCTAGGCAAGAGATACGTTCGGAGAAACGCTATTAGTATTATTTATATCATTCTATCTTTGTTTTACGTATAATAAACAAATAAATGATGAAGATAAAATGATACAAATAATGCTAATAGCATCTTCCCGGACGCATCTTAGATCGTCATGTTAAAACAAATGTTAAAAAAAATGACGCGAATTTGTTTGTGAAATAGAAGGTTTCTTCTTCTTGAAAGAATTCTGATAAGAAACTGGTACAATAAGTTAGAGTGAAACAAACTGTACTTGTCTCACTCTAACTTATTGCACTAGTATACACCAGTTTAGAACTTGAAATGAAAAAAGAATAGATCTAGAGTTTCTTTTTCTTATCTTTCCCTCCATTCTTCGTTCACTTTTGAACGTCACATATCTAATATCTTCTCAAACGATAAAATAAAATAAAGGACACTGATCATATTAAATTCACTTGAATTATTAAAAGCCGAAATTGATTTCCTGTCCTCTACAGATTAAGTGAGCTGCGTTTACACTTATCAGACTTATCTTATTTCTATCAAGCTGAAATAATGAAAGAATGTAAATAATGAAAGAATATAAGTTAACAAGTAAAGTGAATTTTTAAGTTACACATACTACGTTTACATGGCATCTAACGTTAATAGTTACAATATCGATTAATACGTTTACACGGCTTCTAAACAATTTAGTATAAACGCTGATTTTGGATGTTTTTCAACAACGTAGACACAGATGACACAGTGTAATACCGTCTTACACAGTGTTCTACTGCTCGACACTGTAAAAAGCTATAATAAGTACGAGCGTATAAAACATGTCAATATTACCAACTTTTCAAAAAATTATTTGGTAGCCATATTTATTACTTATTTTACAATAAAATCGTCAAAAATCGCCAATTCTAAAAAAATTATAATTTAAGAAATAAAAATCATAAATCTATTGATGCGCTAAATATAATCATAAGAATAAGAATGGAAGACTAAAATGCTCTCTGGTATTATGAAATTCTGCATTCCCACAGGTATCTTACACAGTGGAACACAGTGTAATGTTCTGTGTCCTAGCTGAAAAACAGCCATTATAATTCCTATTTAATTGAGTCACGTTTACACGTTCAGACTTATTTTATTTCCAACTAAAATAATAAAAGAAATCAACAAATCAACAAAGCAAAGGAATTTTTAGGTTATATTTACGCGGACCGATTACGAAGTTATAATACAATTGCAGCTGTTCACACATCCTTTTAATGTCGATATAATAACTAAGCTACTTCACTAAACGACTTTATGTTATAATACTACATCAATGTAACAACTTCGTCGTAAAATGTTTTTGCATAGCATTTAACGTCAGTAGTTATAGCATCGAATGTTATAACTTCGGTATAAATTGGATTAATAACATTATAACTTCGTGTAAATATGGTCATTGAGCCTAACATATAATATCTTTTATTCAGCAGATCATAATCCAAATAGCCAAGTCTACCAAGATCACATATTGCAAATTGTATGCTGCATACTATGGTGGCAGAACTTCAGCAGTAACCGAGTATGATTTGCTGTCCGAGTTAGTAGAAATGTAGAAGGAAACGATTAGTAATTTTCATGCAAAGATAATAATAAAAAATGCAGCAAAAATCAAGCAGAAGTTTTTGATATAAAGTAGCTTTTGAACATTGCATATTGAAACAAATGTGTTGTCAGACACTAAACCAAAACTAAATGTCATTATGTCACATTATATTGCATAAAAAATGAAAAATATAAATATAAAAAAAAATTTATCAGCTTATATGATGACAAAAAGATGATAAAAATCGGATAAGAATCATAAAAAACTTAGCAGATTTGCTATCATGATTTACATCAATATCATGTTAAATGTGTTATATCGAACTAGTTCTTTCGTCTACCACTATACGACGTTTCTATCCATATTTATCTCGTGTTCAAATTTCTGACAAATATAAAGACTATAAAACGCGGTTAATGAGAATAAAAATGAGTATTTTTATTATTAGTATATAGTATTTTTATTATCAGTTTAATTTCAGACACAATTCCTATAAAAAATTCGGAGTCAAAACGCAAAGCCATCGAAGCAAAAAAGTTAATCAATGTGAGTAAGGAAGCATTTATATTGGCTGTAACCGTATATCATATATTGTAATCTGTAAAAATTAACCACATTCGAGTATTCCCCTTTCATTTGAATGTAAGGGACTCGACTGTGATTATTCAATTCTTACAGATTACGACCAATATAAATATTCTCTAAGATTTCGGGGATTGTAAAGTATTGATACGTGTCTGAGCAACGTTTATCCACTCTTCTAATATCTCTTTATTTGATATTTCACCTCAATCTTTTCTTTTATCAAATCTTTTGCCCAAGCCTGATTTTTCTTTTCGTTGCTCAATAAGCACTTTACTGACCTTAATACTCCTTTATCACGTTACGTTTTCTTACTTTGATTTTTTTTCCGTGACCATTTTCTTTAATATTTCTACTTCCTTTACACTTAAACCTCCGAAAATTTTGTTCTTTCCCCTCTTCTGCTTATCACACTCCTGCTCTTATTAAATATGCTCTCCCTCTTCTTTCTCTTTCTCCATCCTTCTTAAATGCCCATTTTTGTTTCCTTCCTCCATCTCTTCTATTTTTTCCCTGTACATTTTTTCTGAAGTTTCTAACCTCTCCTTATTTCTTCTTCATTTCTTTATTTATCCTTACATCAGTTCTCTCTCTCTCTCTCTCTTCTCTCCCCCCTCATTTTATCACCTTTTCCTTTAACATTTTAATTTTTCCTTCCACAGTCTTTCCTTAACTTTAAGACCCAGTTTGTTTCACCTTTTGATAAATTTTACCTGTAAGTAACAAGATTACCCAATTACGTGCGCGGATTGCCTAATAGGTAAAATTTAAGGTGGAACAACCGATCCTAAAACTCTTCTTATCTTTTTATCTTCCCATCTTATCTTTTTCTCCTTGCACATGACCCTAATCCTCCTTAATTTATTCGTAAATTTTCTTTCCTCTTTTCTACTTCCGCTATCTCTCTCTCTCTCTCTCTCTCTCTCTCTCTCTCTCTTACTAGAAGCGCCTAATTAAATACCTCTTTTCCATTATCCTTTTCCTCAGAAACTAATTTCTTTTCCCTGTCTATCTTTCCCTTGCCCACCTTGTCTGTTCTTTCCGCGTCTTCTGGCATCCTAACCTCTCTTTTTTTCTTACCTCTTATCTTCAGATATCTTGTCTTTCGCTTTATGCTCAGCCTCTCCTTCACTTACTCTAGATAAGTCCTCACAATTCTCTATAAAAATTGCTTCATACTCACGAATTCGCTATTCTTTAATGATCACACAAACTAAAAATCGCAGCTATGTAGTTCGCATCTGCACACATGCACACTACCTAACCTGAGCGATCAACCCTCCATTGGTAAGGTTGGGATAAAAATGAC